CACATAACAACAAACAACAACAACAACATTGACTTGATCCCTTGAGTCAGTTATTGAAACGTTGTTGTTGTATACTATGGTGTTGGAACTAACCCACAGCTGACCTTCCAGCAGGTTCTCAGAGGCAGTAAATCGCATGAGGGGAGATTGCCCATCCTTCTCCCTCAGAGCAGTTGTGGATTTGAACCACATGCCTTCAGGATTGCACAGCTTCTCACCACTAGGGCACCAGAGCTATAGATTAATGTATATTTGAGATACCAGAGTATTTATTCAATTAAACATCGAACTGGATGCTGTAACTGCCTCACTCTTAGATTTAGGTGTTGTTACTCCATGGAACCCATGCCTGAACATGCAGTGTACAATTTTGAGGCTTTTCACAGGACAAGTGCAGGTGGTATTTCATCTTTCAGTCTTGACACTCCAGTTACACTTTCTCCTGCACTTGGCTGGGTAAGCACTTTTGACATACACCAACCTCTGAAGATGTCTTAGAGCACAGAGGGGCCACAGTGTGCATATCATGTTGCTGTGCTTTTCAAACAATGATATTCTCTTTGTCCTTGGGTGTTGGAGGCCATTAGACCATACATAGAAAAAATAGCACACCAAACCCCCAGCCATTTAAAAACTTTGAACTTACTCATTTACAATCAAGGTAAAAGAGTCTAACAGCAAGGATGAAAGGAGCTCTATCTGTACCTTTTCATATCTGTCATGTCATTATTTGCATATATAGCTGTGGAAATATGTAATTTTTAGTAAACCAAATGCATAGACTGATCTAAAACTTGATTCCCCTTGCCCTCAATATAATAGGGAGCTCTGTGGCTTGGTGATAAGGAATTGTATGCCAAGCCAAAGGTGGTGGTGGTTGTTGTTGTTATGTGCCGTCGAGTCACTTGCGACTCATAGCGACCCCATATACAACAGCCTTAAACTCTGCTCTGTCTTGTGCCAATCACACGGTTTCCGACACTCCCATCCTGATTACCCCAATCATTGAATCAACCCACCTCATAGAGGGCCTTCCCCTCCTGCGCTGTCCTTCCAACCCTCCCAAGCATGATGTCCTTTTCCAAGGACCAGTCTTTCTTTACAACATGTCCAAAGTAGGTATGTGGTTCAAACTCATCAGCTGCTCAGAGGGAGAAAAATGGGTAATCTCCTTCTGTATGATTTACTACCTCTGAAAACCAACTGGACGGTCAACTATGGGGCATTTCAACTCAATGGTGCATAACAACAATAACCGCATTTACTTATATGTCTTGGAGATCTTACTGTGAGAATCCTTCAGTTGTTTACTATAGTCTCATTATTTCAGCAGTGATGCTGCTGAAAAGTTAGAATCTTTTAAAATGTTATCTCACTCTCATTCCCAACTGGACATGGCCAATTTATAGTTGGTGAACTGACAAATTTATAATTGATGTAGGGGGTTGTGGGAGGAAAGGAAAAGGGTAGATAATGAACACCGCATTGGAAGAGCTGAGGGGAAGAACTGTCTGAAAGGAATATACGATTTGGCATTTATATGTATGATAACAGGCTGGAACAAGAGGTGCATTGCAAAGTGGAATAGGGGAGGAGGCAGAGAGGGGGAAAAGTTCTACAGTGCATGAATAAAAGAAAAAAAATGAATAATCTTTGTATTATATGCAGTTCTCAGATTGTGAGCTGCATAAGCAAACCTTGAAACTAATAAACATAAAATGATACCCATGCCTTTTGCTGTTGCAGCAAAGCTCCAGACAAAGAATAGAAAGCAGGATGTTGCTAGGAGTGGTTATTCCTTGGAGAGGGACATCATACTTGGGAGAGTGAGGGCTGGTGAAGGAGAGGAAGACCCCCAACCAGATGGATTGACACAGTGACTGCAGCAATGGGTTTGAGTGTGTCAGAGATTGTGAGGACAGCACAGGATAGGACAGGGTTCAGATCTCTTGTTCATAAGCTTGCTATGAGTTGTACTTAACTCAATGGCATTTAACAACAAGAGAAGGAAGCAGGATTGACCTGCTGAAATGACAAGCCTCTGAAAACCCTAGGAACAATAGAGGCAGCTCTATATAGTATTAGTGGTAGAGCCCATATTAGAAGTCAATCAAAATGAGAAGAAACAGCTGCAAATATCCTTTAATAACTGGAACATGGAACGTGTTAGATATAAAAGAGAGAGCGCGAGGGAGAGAAAGAAAGAAATTGGTCCCAAGAAACGAACAGGCCTTTATTGGGGTCTGGGAGGGGCGGTCTGAGAGGGACGCCAAGTGACCTGGCCACACAGCACATGGACAAGATCCAAATGGCAAGCGTGCAGTCTGGGGAGGTTCCTTTTTATAGGGATCCTGCAGAGGACTAAGATGGTATTTCTCAGAATTTGGGTTGTTAATTAAGTTAGCTTTGGGCTATTTTGATCAGGCTCAGACTCTTATCAGGATCTATTGTCTGGTCTGGTCTTTGATATGACCATGACCGGCTTAGGTGTTATCAAGTTTCTCAGGAAGTGATCAAGCTTGGGGCTGGTGGGGGTGGGGCAACTGCCATATTCTTTCTTCAGAATGTATGAAGTATGAATATAGAAAAACTGGAAGTTGTAAACAATGAAATGAAACACATGAACGCCGACATTCTAGGCATTAGTGAGATTGGCACTAGCCACTTCAAATCAGACAATCCCATGATTTACTATGCCAGGAATGAAAAACTGTGGAAGAATGGTGTTGAATTTATAGTTAAAAGGACAATTTCAAATTCTATGCTGAAGTACAATGTTGTGCGTGATAGGATGCTATCCATACACATACACATACATATACACATACACATACACATACACATACACATACACATACACATACATATACACATACAAGGAAGATAAAAATCAGGAGAGATGTGCATCAGGTTTGTATGTTTTAAATATACTTATTCAATCTGCATGCTGAGCAAATACTCAGAGAAACTGGACTACATGTGGGAAGAATGGGGCATCAAGATTGGAGAAAGATTGACTTGTTAACAACCTGAGATATGCAGATGACACAACTTGTTGAAAGTGAAGAGGAATGGAAGCACTTTTCGAAGATCTGAAGTGATAGCCTTTAATATGAATTACACCTGAACATCAAGAAACAAATCCTTCCACTATCATGATACCAGGAGGAAAGATTGAGGTTGGCAATGATGTCTTTGGTAATTCAAAGATATCACATTAGAAGATAGTGAAAATGAACATGGCAGTGAAATGTCCTTGAGTCTCTCTCATCCTCAAGAGTTCCTATGCATAATAAGGGAGGTGGTTGGGAGGAGCTATTAGAGCCGTCAATGAGTTCTGAGAGTGAAATTGTAGGTAATTAACAGTAAAATACTTCTAATACTTAAGGAGTTAAGGTGTTAATTAACCAGTGGGACTTCATTACTGTCTGATCTCTAATGAGGTGCCAGTGCAGCTGCAAGTATTATGGGAACACATTTTTTGATAAGATGGTTTTTTTTAATTCCACTCTGCATCTCAAAGCTTAACACCAGCACTGATGCAGGAGTCCAGTAAAGGAATATAAAAACCACTGTGCTTTCATTAGGAAGCAACTTACCCTATTGATGGAGAAAATGAGAGTGAATGAAAAGACATTAAAAATTGGCTTGAAACAGACCACCAAATGGCATGAAATGGTCCTACTTTTTTGGAAGTTATCTTCCTTAGGGCAATACCCAGATACCATCCTTAATGAAATGAAATGAAAATAGGACATTTATTCTGGTATTTATAAAGAATTTGAAATCCTCATGCACAAATTACTAAAGATGTAATTATATCAGTAGTTTTTAATTGCTTAGAGAATAAGTAGAGCACTAGGATTTAACCCATTGTTTTAAAACTTTTATTTTAACAAATAGAAACCATTCCTTTTCTCCTCATAGAACAGTAACACTTGATCTTTTAAAAATCAGAACTTAAACATAAAAAACATATGTCCGAAAACTTTTTCTTCCCCCAGAAATTCCCGGTCTTGAAAAGCTTAAGGTAAGGCCTTGAATCTTGTGTTTCCCATGCGCAGTGCAAAGAAATGTCGATTGAGTTTTAGTGATACTACCAAGCCAGGTGGGGATAAGAATGCCCTCAGTTGTGTGGATCAAGCCCCAGGGAAAGAGACTGATTCAGTGGTCAGTCATCAAGTCTGCTCACCTGCAACCCATCTCTCTCAGAGCTCCTGGGCTGTGGGCGGAGACCCTTCCAAATGCTGCAAATTTTTGCCACTTCTTTAAATTCAGAGCAACCTGTAGTGGAGAGAGGAGACTGGGCTGTGTCAAGGCTGTGAGATATGGAGGGATTCTTTCCTGATATAGTACTTCTTAAAATTCTCTCCTTCATGGATGGAATGACCTTACTGCAGGCTTCCCAAGTGAACAAGGTAAAGCCTCTTCACCCTCAGTCAATCACTAGGATTGACTAGTGTATAAGTCCTACCTTCCCACCTTGTTGCCTTGCTCACTTCTCCATTAGCTTTGGGACCTTGCTATCTCAACCTCACATCGAAACAGCCTTTCTGCATTCCCCTTCATACCTTGATCTGAGTCCAGATACACCCATTTTACTCAGATAAACCAGTGCTCATAGAACTTAGAAGCCTCTCCTAAGAAATGTGAGTGCTAATTTGCAGAGTAATAGGGTGACACATGATGGATTTAGCATCATTCACTCTAAAGGTCTAATTTTAGGTAAATGAAAATGACAGATTGATAAAAAAATGTTGCTATGTTGACCAGGTGGTCCTTGTGTCCTTATCTGAGTCCTTGGGAAATCAACTCCTAGGAATATCAGTAGGAGCAGAGACAGGTCTCCACTGTTACTGTTTCTCTCCCTACCCCAGCTCAGCCTCCAACTCTGAGGGCTTGGAGTGATGGGCTCCTGTCTGATTACACTGTGGTCAAGTACTGGTTGATTGCTTCTCTCTTCCTTTTCCTCCCTTAGCAATGGAATGAGCTTGCAGAGGATGATGATCTTTGGCGGTGAGTAAAGGGGGGGAGTAGAGTATGGCAGGAGGAAGGTATCCCTGGGGGAGAGGAGGACTATGATTAAGCACTTGTTGGCGACATCTAGCCCTGTGTGCATGAAGGTTCTAGTGAATAAAGGGTGAGTAAATGTGTTTTAACAATGGTCCCTGAGAGAGCGGGGAGACTATCTAGGGAAACCTGATGGGATTATGGTTCTGTTTCCAGAATGATGTGCCTGAAGAGGTGGCCTTTCTTCTTTTCTGGTTATTATATGAGAACAAAGAAATGGAAACAATTTTTCCTCGATCAAGTAAAGCAGGAGTATTGCATGACATTTGCTGAGACACAGGACTTTACCTACAACTTAGTTCATAATACAGGTATGGAGACAAGTGTCCTAGAGAAGCATGATACATCTATTTCCCACCTAAATCTAGTTCAGTGCTTTGATTCAGTGAAAGGAACCCCAGAGGACAGAGTATATCTCTAAGGCCTTTGTAAATCTTCACAGAAACGCTGCTTCATCTTTCTCCCATGAAGGGCTGGTGGGTCCGAACCATTGATATTTCTGTTAGCAGCCAACGCTTTGCCAGGGCTCCTTATTGAAAGGAAAGAGAATGAAAATTCAATGGGAATGTGTTGACTTCATAAGCTGTTTGTGTCCCTCCCTGTGAAGACAATCCTTTTACATTTTAACATTACATTCTATCACTCCCTTTATTGACACACTTCTCAGTCTGCCCTAGAATAAAAATGGAACAAAAAAAAATATTAATGAACATTTTAGAAATGAAAGGTACTTCAATATGATGCATTGGGAAAAATCTGCTTTCAAGGACTTCTCCAAAATGTTAAAGAGCAATGATGTCAGTTTAAAGGCTAAGGTGTGCCTGATCCAAGACATTATCTTTTCAATTATTTTGTATGCATCTGAAAGTTGGACCATAAATAAGGATGACCAAAAAATGGGTTTGTGATGTTGAGAAGAATACTGTACACAGCCTATGGACTATCAAAAGAATTAACAAACAAGTGTGTATGAAGAATAGCCAGGGTTACTCCTTACAGGCAAGGATGGTGAAACTTTGTCTCACATGCTTTAGGAATGTTGTTAGGAGGAGCTAGTCTTTGGAAATGAACAGCATGCTGGGATATGTGGAGGGTCAGGGAAAGAGAAGACTCTCAACAAGACAGATTGACATTGACTGTAACTCAATGTATCAGAAATGGTGAATATGGCATAGAATAGGCCAAAGTTTACATTTGTATGAGTTGTATTTGACTCGATGGCACACAACAACAACAACAATGCTCACATTAGGTCTGAAACCTCTTTTCAAACTCTAAACATTCTGATGGAGAGATCTTTGTCCCATTTTGAATCTATAGAAACTGATATTAAAGGGGGGGCCCTTGATCAATATATCAAATGGCAAATAGAGATGGGAACACATGTTACTTGAGATCTTCTCATGAGTGTGCAAGAGAAACAAAACTTGCTTTTCACCCCTAGAATTTTTCTTTATTAGGTTTGGATCATTTTTCACCTGTCGGTGACAAGTATTCTCTGTTTGCTCCCAGAGAATTTAGCCTCCATTGCCTATATCTCAGGAAGTGGCTTCACTATGGATGAACAAGAAAGTTCAATCATCTGTGGTGGGGTAATGAGCAACAGACTTTATGCCTGGGATGTGAAAACGGTGAGTCTGGCCTGGCACCTGATATAATGCTTACCTGAGTCTTTCCTGTTAGAGACAAAAATCAGAAATATTGACAGGACAATGATAATTGGAATCAGTGATAGAAATAAATTGTTAAATCATGTCTTCTAGCTTATTATCTATTTCATTTAGATCTTAAACACATGGAGAACTCATAGTTCAATATGTGCTTCTTATATATAAATGTGTATGGAGGCTAATTGTCTAATGTCAGCTTGTATATGACACCAACTCTCTTCTTTTGTATTGTCTATGGTGCATCTTTGTCGCCTCATTTACCTCCCAACTTTTAGCATTTCCCCCCCCTCCCCCCGAGAAAGTAGTTTCAAATTCAGATTGCCTTCAAGGTGAACAAAGGAGGTGCCTATCATGTATCATATAATACAAGGAACAGAATAGAGAACTCGGATTAACGAATGTGGGTCTCAAAGTATTGTATTTTCTTGACTTTTTCTGGTTGGAGTTCTCTTTCTTTCTCACCTCCTTTCTCCTGTAAAATGTGATGATAATCTCTTTCATTCAGAGTCTTTGGAAGAGTGAGAGGAGATAGCAAAAAAATGAGGTAAAACTCTCTTGGAAAATTTGTTTTAGGGGATGGTTTGCTCTCTAACCAGCATGTTCCTGAGGACCCTCCAGCAGCCCAATGAATAGGTCCATGTAGAAAATAACTCAGGCTTTCTGCTAAGGTTCAACATCAATTTGCTGTCTTTATGAGTGAACCATCTTAAAATCAGTATCCAAGTTCAGCTAAGTCTTTAGATTAGATCTCCAGCCAGGGCATGCTTTAGAGTTCACGCTTGAATAACTCTGTTTTGGCCCCTCTTGCATTGCACCCCACTGCATTCTGTGATTTAGTGTTTACTGCTTTGAGTTGCTGTGAGCCAAGGCAATTTGCTTTGGGCGGCTAACAGAAATATCAGAGGTTCGGACCCACCAGCCCTTCATGGGAGAAAGATGAAGCAGCGTTTCTGTAAAGATTTACAAAGGCCTTAGAGATCTACTCTGTCCTCTGGGGTTCCTTTCACTGAATCAAAGCACTGAACTGGATTTAGGTGGGAAATAAATTTATCATGCTTCTCTAGGACACTTGTCTCCATACCTGTATTATGAACTAAGTTGTAGGTTAAGTCCTGTGGCTGATACTCCTGTTTTACTTGATCGAGGAAAACTTGTTTCTATGTCTTTGTCCTCATGTAATTACCAGAAAAGGAGAAGAAAGACCCTCTCAGTCAGGAAATCAAATGACAAATTGTATTGGGAAAGTCAAAGACCTCTCCAAAGTACTAAAGAGCAACAATGTCAGTCTGGAAACTAAGGTGCACCTGACTAGGCTATACTCTTTGCAATTGCTTGCTATATGCATCAGAAAGCTGGACAATGACTAGGGATGATAGAAGGAGAATTGATGCCTTTGAGCTGTGGTGTTGAAGAGTATTGAATATGCCATGGACAGCCAGGAGAACAAACATGTTCATTTTGAAGAGGGTGAAGCCAAGCTGCTCCTTGGAGGCAAGGATTCTAAGGCTTCGTCTGACATACTTTGGACACATTGCAAGAAGAGACGAGTCCTTGGAGAGGAACGTCATGCTTGGGAGGGTGGAGGAACATGTCTTTCTTAGCCACTAGAATATCTTTAGTGGAGTGAATGTCTTTTGCCTATATCTTATATGTCTTTTTTTGGTGAGGTATTGAAGTTTTCTATAAATTTTAGAGTTTAGATCTTTGTCAGGTATGTCATTGACAAATTTTTTTTCCCTACTCTTGACCTTCTTTTTATACTCTTCTGGGGAAGTCTTTTGATGGCATAAAGATTTCATTTTTTGGTTAGTTTTCCAGTTTATCATCTGCAGTTTGTGCATTGTTACCTCTGTTTTATAGTGTATTTATGCTATAAATTAGAGACCCTTTGTAGTCTTTATCATCTTAGCCTTTACATTTAGGTATCTGATTCACATCCATTTTTGGCTTTTGTGTACATGCATGCAGATACTTGGTTCACAGACACTGAAATGGCAACGTATTTTCAACTTAACTTTGGGATCATTTGTTGTACATTAATAAATAGCACTGCACAGCTGGCAAGAGCGTTAAAAATCAGAAGAATAACTACATTTAGGGAGGACCTAGACTACAAAGTTATTTTGAATGGTTTAATAGTAGTTACATTGATTAACAGTTTAAGAGAAGTTCACTTTGCAATATACTTATTAAACCTTACGGTTCTGGGGTTTTTTGGCATATAAGATGTACTTCACAGTCTAAAAAAGGTCAGGAAAATCTAGATGGGAATCTTTCTATCTTGTATACAGTGTGAAAGGTCAATTAGGGACTAAGAGATTTTGACTGTTAATATATTATATTGTGAACTAGACAGAATTGTGAGTATGCTTTGGTGGCCTAGCCCATAGGGAATTGCTCTGCTAACCCAAATGTGGAGTCTCTCTGGTGGTTCAGATCTCCTTAGGACAAAGATGATTTCCTTTCAAGGGAATTATAGCCTCTGAAAACCCACTGGATGGTCACCTATGAGTTTATTCCAATTGGATGGCAGTGAGTTTGCCTTCCTCTTCCCTCCCCTCCCCCCAGTTCACGTGTTTTATGTGTTGTGACATTATAATATTGACAATGGTCCAATTGCAGCTGTGCTGGCTTCATACTCATTTGACATAGAAGAAAGTTATAATAGTAAGTGACTTCAGTCAGGAATTGACGATTCCTAGGCAGAACCGAATTGAGCTCTTTATGTATCTGATGGCTCCTTATGCCTGTCATGTAATAGTTGCTGACTTATATTCACTCTTCACTCATAATTGTGATATTTAGGAGAATTTTCATATTCTTATCCTAGAGACAAGAAGTGGGACGGAGTTGGAAGAGATTTCTAAGGGAACATGGTCAAAGGGGAACCACAGTGGGCTTTCCATCCAAGGTTCATGAATTACCGATATGTCCCTCTCATTCTTTAGGGGAATATGATCTGGGCAAGCCAAGTGCAGGAGTATTACATCATTAATATGATAACCGTCCCTCAGATGCATCTTATATTCACTTCAGATTTACATAATAATGTCAAAATGTGGAATTGCTATAACACAGAGCCTCTGGCTGCCGCTAACTTGAGCTTGCGCTGCTGTTGTATAGAAGTCTTTATCATAAATCGTTGTCCATTTCTTGTGGTAAGTGAATTCTTCTTCCATCTGAGGGTGGGGGGTGGACACCTGAAAACAAAATGCCTGATTCTTCACAAGATATTAAGTGGCAATTACCATTAAATCACAATCGGTCTCTTCATATTTGCATCTTCAACACACTCTAAGGGCTGGGCCCAGTGCATCAGAATGTCGACCATGTAAACCTTTAGTATATCTTGATGGGTTTTTTTGTTGTTGTTGTTTTTTAACCCTACCTCAAGTGACAGTGACATTGGAGAGAGGGACGTGGGCTTGGAGGGATACGGGTTTGGAAAAATACAGTGAAAAATAGTATTAATATTCTAATACACAACTCTTTTAAAAATTTTTTAATTGAGATTTTAATGAAAGTTTACAGAAAACATGGATTTCCATTCATTCATTGTTGCACATGTTCCTCCCTAATCCCCTGCCCAGTTTACTTTTCTCTTTAAAAAATTTGTTCATTGTTGCATAAACAGCTCTTATTGAGAGGAGTTACTTTGGGGCTTAGAAAACCTTACATAATGAGATGATCACAACTTTCTGAGGCAGCCTGGTCAGAGGTTACGATCTATTAGGTAACTAAAGAAATAGTGGCATATCTTGCAGCTAAGAGTTCTGCTTTCTATCTACTTTAGGATTTCATGACTTTTTTCCATTAGCGTAACTGTGATTCTTTTGTTTCAGATTGGTGGTTCTGATGGTCACATCTACACCTTAACAATGCCTAACTTAAGGTGCATTTCTAGGATTTTTGTATTCAAATATCAGATTGACCATCTACTCTGCTCTCCTGATAAGAAATATATCTTTGCAATTGGATGTAAAGGATGTTCAACTCCAAAGGTAAGTGATGCGCTTTAAACTTTAAGTATAGAGTGTCAGACATCAGGATGGTTGAGTTAGGAAGTGTGAGAGAAACTGAAAAGGCAAGTGAGGTCGAGACATACTGTTCCCTCTTATCAGGCCATGACACAAACGGAATTCATTCATATCCCCCCAAAAATGTTCTTGAATGCTACAATAACCAGTTGCAAAGTAAACACTTACTAATCAAAATTTGCTCCAGAAGCCTCAGTTTGCCAACAAGAGAACATGGGAGAGCAAGGTGCATCAAGAAACCAAAATCTTTGCTAATTTTGCTTACTTTGGAGAACTTAATTTTATTTTTATTCACTTTGGCTATAAAAATTAGAGATCCAGAAGCAAATCAATATGCAGAAGTCTCTGAATGTCATTCTGAGAAAATCTTTGGCCCTTAAGCAGGCCATGCTTAGCCTGGCCCGTGTGGATTGGACCAGAACACAAAGAGTTGAATAGACAGGGAGAGAAAAAAAAAACAAAACAACCCAATAAGGTTTCTTAAAAAATGGGAAAATCTATTAAGCCAACCTTAACTTGATCATGGGGTCAGTATGTCAAAATTTTGTAGCTTCTTGGCAACCCAGGAGAGAAGTTTCTGAGACTCTTGTTCTATGTGTAAGACACTGTATGTAGGAAGATCCAGAGTTCCTTGTATTTTTGGCACATAAAGCAGTGCCTATATCTGTTGTTAGGTATCATTGAGCTGACTACAACACCTCGCATTACTATGATCTATAGATGGGAACCTTTCTCTATCCTGTGCTATCTTCACCTTTTCTGATATACTCGAATCCGTGGTTATAGTCACTGTGTCAGTCCAGCTTTGCCGTCTTTCTCTCTTTCCCACATTTCTCAGCATGATTTCCTTTCCCAAGGAATGGTCCCTCCTGATAACAAGTATGTGGGTCAAAGTTTCACCATCATTGTCTCTAAAGGGCACGCTGGTGCTTCTTCCTCCAGGCACACTTGGTTGTTCACTTGAGAGTCTTTCAAATATTCAGTAAGTGCCCTTCTAAAACCACAATTCAAAGGCATCAATTATTTTTCCCCCTTCTCAAAGCTTCATTTCTCTCTTGTTATCTCCATTTCTGAGTACATCTGGCACAGTGCTGCATTAGGATGGCATACAAAGCATCACTTTCACCTCCCAGCTCTAACTATTCCAATGAAGACATACAGCAAGGTTGTGTCATCTGCACAACTACTTCTTGGCCTACGCATAGATTTTGCATGAACTTAATGAAGAGTTCAGGACTCTCCTTCTTTTCAATGTTATCCATAATTCGTTAGGATCCATTCAGTCAAATGTCTTTGTACAGTCAATAAAACACAAAAATACATCTTTCTGCTGTTCTCTGCATCCAGCCAACATCTGACTGACATCAGCAATAACATTTCTCATGCCACAGTCTCTGTATCCAGCTTGAACTTCTGGAAGTTCTCTGTCAAAATACTGTTCCACTCATTTTTTATCAATCCTCTGCAAGATTTGTATTGCACATGATATTGTTTAATAATTTCTACATCCTGTTGGAAGCTTTTTTTGGGAATGGGAACAAATATAGATCTCTGCCAGTTAGTTGGCCATGTAGTTATCTTCTAAATTTTTTGACACAGATAATGAGTTGATCCCGGGCTGTAACTGTTTAATATGTCAGTTGGTGTGCTATTAATTCTAGGGGCTTGGTTTTCTCCCTCCCCAATGCATTTAGTGCTTCTTGAACTTCTTTCTTCATTACCATTGGTTCTTGATTCTTTACTATTTCTTGAAATGGCTCCTTGTCAACTAATTGTTTTTGATACAGTCACTCTGTACTCTTTCCATCTTATTTTAATGCTTCTGCATCATCCATGATTTTGCCAATAGAACCCTTCAGTATTACAACTTTGAGTGTAAATTTGTTCTGTTTTTTTAAGTTTGAGAAATACCAATATGCTCTTCTCTTTTGACTTCTCTGACCCCAGGTTTTGCACATTTTATTATAATGACCTTTTGCTCATTACATATGGATGATGTCCTTGATGTTACCTGGACTCTTGCTGTCTTTGATATCACTACAGCTCACATGGTCTTTTTTTTATTTAAATAAGTTTTTTTAAAAAAACTTTATTTTTTGTGTGTGCTATGCATAAGAGAATTGGACAATGAATAAGGTTGATAGAAGGAGAATTGATGCCTTTGAGCTGTGGTGCTGGAGAAGAGTGTTGAATATACCATGAACAAACAGGTTTGTCCTGGAGAAGGTGAAGTCGGAATGCTCCTTGGAGTCAAGGATTCTGAAGTTTTGTCTGACATACTTTGGGCCTGTTGCAAGGAGAGACTGGTCCTTGGAGAGGGACATTATGTTTGGGAGAGTGGAGGGGCGGCGAAGGAGAGGAAGACCTTCAATGAGATGGATCGATTCTGTGACTGGAGCGGTGGGAATAAGTGCCTTTGAGATGGCTAGGTTGGCACAGGATAGAACAGCGTTTAGAGCTCTTGTACATAGGGTCGCTATGAGT